TACAATAATGGACTTTTATGTCATGTTAATCAGCAACAAAAGTATAACCTAATATTGTTGTTAGTCTATATTCTGAAAGTATAAAATGAAATGTATAAACAAAAAAACTGGAAAAAATATTTGTTGGTTTATTAATTTAAAGTCTCCATTGATTAAAGAGTTTTTTTTATTACAAACGCAGGTGATATAACAGAAAATACCTTAATTCAGAAACTATTTAAGTTTAAAATTGGATCGATATTTTTACTTTCATGATAAATTTTATGCACTTGGCTCTAGGCTAGATTATCTCACACTATGTCTTTACTTTAGACTTATTTATTAATTTATTTAAATCATATCAACATTTACTACACTTACAAGGTTTCACGGCCACTTTGCACCCCCTGTCACTAAAATCGTAATGAGTAAATCGTAATGTATGCTAAAATTGAAACAGAAAGGCTGCGATTCATTCGCATAAACCAAAAGAAGCTCCGAATTGAAGACTATATCCACCTGCTGGATGCTAAAATAGGTTCAGAATACACACACTGACATAGTCATTTAGAATATATGAATTTAATAACCCAAGCGAAGCCGGGTACTTTCGATAGTATTAGAATATTCGTTAAATTATAAAACTGTTTGTAATGTTCTATTTCTCGGATCTGCCGTAATTTGCGTCTAACAATGTGTAGCTTATTATTATTACTGTTTCACTATTGTTCTAATATTATAGTATAGTTATAATACTAACTATTCAGCTATAGTAACATATGACATATATTGCTTATATGATGCATAGAATAATCAGAACAACAATATGTTTTATGGTTAGCTAAAAAACATATAGACGGAAAATAGAAGCTGCTAATAAACAATAATAAGGCAAAAGGATATAAAGTTTACTATCAGTGTTAAAAACAAGTTGCAAGACTGTATGATACTCCAGAGTACGCAAGTGTTAAACTAAAAGTAATAGTGTTAAGTGTACTGGTATGATGTGTTGTTTTATAAATGATGGTTTAGTTACATGTAACATCCATTGGCTTTGTTCACTATTGAAATTTCTTCGTTAATAAGTAAAGCTT